TGTTTTGGAGATAAATGTCTCAGGAACTTTCCTGTCCAGGCTGGCTTTGAACCATAATCCTTAGATCTCAGCCTCCTGAGTAGTTAGGATTCCAGGGATGAGCCACCAATGCCTGGAAATGGCTAATTTTCAAGAAGCTCTAAATGTTTGGAAATGAAACACAAAAAAAAGGAGTTTGTAAGGTCCCAGTGGGTCAGGGCTATAATCATATTTGCTCAAGAATCCAGGAACTCAGAAGCTCAGTTCAGAGCCAATTCAGGCAGGAAGGCCTTCGAGTCTCTGACTTCCAATTAACTATCAAGAAAACTGGAAGTGACCTGCAGGAAAAGTAATGGAGCCCTAACCTTTAGCACCCAGTCCTTGAGTTCAAATCCCTGGCCTGAAAAACACATTTTATTAAAATGAAGTTTTATTTGCAACATAGGTTCAATTCCAATATAGGTCTTGTGACTCTCATTGTTGAAATGGGTCATCCTGTGACCTTGTTTCAGCATTTTGTTATGGCCCTTGCCCTCCCAAAATTAGAGAAATGTATATACAAGATGCAAGGTAACAAAATCAAATACAGTAACAACAGACATATACTACAGAAAAGAAAAGAAGAAAAAAATCGCATGGTACATTAAAAACAACAACAAAGAAAAATATCTTGTGTCTGTATCTTGGGCCTCATTTTGTGTAGCATCATGTTGTTGTTGGTACACTTTTGTTAGTTTTATTACAAAATATCACTAAGAATGACAATTTTCAATCCGGGTATTTTTTTTTGGTTTATTCAACTCACTCTGGCACCCAGCCCAGTCACCCCAATATCAACCCTGAACCTCTGACAGGCAATTCCCAGCACACGAACTCCAAAGCCAGCTATGCAAGTGAAGGGCTTACCTTTAAGGGCTCACCCGCAGTACTGTTCTCAAACCCCAGTGAACCACCACGAAATGAACATCTTCCCACCAGCTCCAGGGTCGCCGCTCCCTTCCTTCCAGCTCACTCTCATCCACAAGGGCACAGTCAGGCCAAAGAGCCGACTTTGACAGCAAAGTCTGTGAGGCTTCTATCTCCAGAAAACCAACAGAAATCTGGAGGCAGAATTGTGACACAAATGGTAGAGTGGCAGCCCTAAGGAGAGGAGTGGAGAGGGGAGAGTCAGGGAGGACACCAAGGCCTTGAGTTCAAGTCCCAGGATTGGCACACACACACATTACAAGTGGAAATACAAAGGAGAGAAAGCTAAGGCATTGGATGACCCTTACTAGCAATACACCCACCATCACCCTGCAACACTCCCCGGACCCCACGGAAGCCATTCCTCCATACCTCCGTGTCCCCTCCAGACCAGCCAGACACCTAAGGGACTCACCTCAGACAAAGTCCGCCGCCCTTCCTCTCAGCAGCACACCTGTGCAAACCCCACTGCTTCCTGCACCCCGTGTGCTGGGGTCTGGCCGTCCTGCAGGCTCCACGCCGGGCAAGGCATGGGAGGATCCGCTGCTCGGCCTAACAGCAACCATGGCGGAGCCAGGCGCCAAAAGACCGCGGAGGCCGCGCGGGGCGGCACAGCCAGGCCAGAGCCCCAGAAAGGATGTCCACAAGTTCCCGCTTCACACAAGGCCTTGCGGGGCTTCCTGGGAAGCCTCCCTTCCCTAAGGCGGCCCTTCCCCATTGCTTCCCCCAGGACAGGACCTCAGCGCCAACTTCTCTGCTCCAGACCCCTGTCTCTCCCAGAAGCTGCAATGGCCGTCCCGGAGGGGCTGGATTGCCAATCTGAGCATGAGCAGCAGCCATCCTCCCACTGCGCATGTCCATGTGCGACTCCAGAGGGGCTGAGGCCTTGTCTCAAAATCTAAGGCCCTGGGGTTAAGAGTCCCTGAAACTCAGAACCCGGATTCCTAAATCACAAAGATCACAGGCCTGTGCCTCAGATGGCCAGCTCACAGCGTCTTTTTCATACAGATTTTGATGAATTTCCTTATGTTTTCTTTATAGATACACACACACACACTCAAATATATATTAATCTATTTTTAATCAATGGTATATTTACACACAACTATATATTTATATATTGATAAGCAATGTTCTATAAGCATTTTCCCCAAAAATGTTTTAGTACCCAGGTATTCTGTGACTTAGGCCTTGCCCTGGGCTCTTTGTTTACAATTATTTTTCAGACCAACTGTTGAGTTTTGGACTCCGACTGGCATTCAATTTCAAGTTCCTCATTTCTGTCTTCCCAGTTGCTCTGATTGATTAGAAGTGTGCAGCTCTACCACCAGGTTTACAAAACAACAATTATATAAATAGAATAGTTCTTAAAACACCAGTAGAAATGCAGAAGTCATGTACCATATCTCGGAGGTATGCATGATGGAGAGCTCACATTTTATATAAACTTGAATCCCTAGACTCAGATTGTAAAGCTAATTGGGTAGCACTTCAGTAGCTTGTATATGTCTGGGTTCCAGACTCAAACAACAACAAACAACACTCCAGGATCTTCAATTGTCTCAGGCTGACAAAATTCTTTTCTTGTCACATTGAAGTCAGACTTCAAACCTTTGCTATGAACCATTTATTTGATTTCTTAGAAAATCAGGTTTAAAAAAGATTCCTGACTGCATGCTGTGGATCTCGCCTGTACTGCTAGCTAGTCAGGAGGCTAAATCCGAGGATCATGGTTCAAAGCCAGATCAGGTAGGAAAGTCCATGAGACTCTTCTCTCCAATTAAGCACCAAAAAATGGAAGGGGAGCTGTGACTGTAAGTGGAAGAGCATTAGCCTTGTGCAAAAAAAGCTCAGAGACAGTGTCCACAACATGAGTTCCAGCTCCACAACCAAACGGAGAGAGGAAATGTGAGAGAGAGACAGAGACAGAGACAGAAAAAGAGACAGAGACACACAGAGAGAGACAGAAACAGACAGAGATTGACAGAAATAGAGACAGACAGACAAACACAGAAAGACAGACAGGAAGACTGAGAAATCACTGACAACTCCATTTAGAAAAATGTATATGGATATCTAAGATGTATATCCTATTCTTCCACAATTCACTACATAGTACCACCTCATCCTGATCCACATTTGGCTACTTGGAATCTATTTGGTGCTTCATAAATTATTCCACATGCTCCCATAGAACATAAACAGGCCCACACCTACTCACCAATGGTTTATTATGAGTCTGGCCTTTTTGCTTAAATATGTAATATTCCCATTTGTATGTTTTTCTGTTTTCATGGTTTAAAGCTACCATTCCCCACATTTCACATCTAGATGTCTTCATCTTTTGTGCCAGTAGTGGAATATGAACTCAGGGGCTTAAGCTCCTGCTCACTTTTTGTTCCATGTTTAAACTTGTAACTTCAACCATGCTATGAGTTCCTGATTTTTGCAGGCTCATTGGATAAGTATTTTAGATTTGTCTACAGGGGCTGATTTGAACCTTGAAGAAGTATAGGGCATTCTTGAAGCTACAATTATTGAGATGGGCCAGGACACCTGGCATGTCTTTGTCCCTCTGGCTAAGTCTTCTGTCTTCTATTGATGATGGCTGTTACCTATTTCCTATGTATTTTGTCAAATACTTTTCCCTCAAAGTAACATTTTGGTGGTATTTTGAGGTGAAATGTCCTTACATATTTGCACAGAGCAAAATGGGTGTGCGTACAGACTTGAATTCACTAATGGAAGAAAGTCCCACATACAGAACATTTAGTCTGGCATAAGTCTCAATAGACAGAACAACTTTCAAGGACATCTGGTTTGCTATGTCCTAGAGCTTTAGTAATGGCCTGATCACCCCATGCAAGCATGGGTTGGGTTCCTTGCCCCTACAGTGCACTGAACAGTTCCCTTCATAGCCAGTAAGTGCTCTTGGACAGCTCCAGGTCACTATTTTGCCTTTACTCAGGACTCATGTGTCTGGGACATCAGAATGTATAAGAAAACAAACCACAGCATTTAGCCTCCATAAATTGTACAACATAAACATATATATTTAATAAATTTAGAAGAATAAAAAGAATGAACATTTTACAACAATCAGGACAAAAAGAAAAAGAGAGATATCCCCAGGGAGAGGGGAGGGAAGCTCTAAGTCTAGGTTGGCTTCTAATTTGCCTTCAAACATAAATTCTGCCTCAGAATCCTCCAAGGGATCTACCTCCTCATGAAAGATTGGAGTTGCTCCTGCAATTGCCAGAGAGGCAGATTCTAATTTCTCTGTTGGAGATTGGTTCTGCTGCAGCAGGACTGATTTGTCCACATATTTTTTGAGGACAGATTCACTTTCCTGAGCTGCATCTAACTTTGGGACCTCACTTATTTGTTCCCCTGAACACAGACTGGGGACATTTTCCATCAGCCCCACGTATGCTACTCCCTCCAGCACACCAGGAGGAGTGCTGATTTGACCCTTTATAAGCTGATCTGGGCCGCCTGTGAAAGTCAGAGGAAGACAATCACTATTACTTTCTTCTTTCTTTGGGGTCCCTACAAGTTCAGCTCTGTCACATGTGGGGTTCAGAACCAGTGTCTTATCCACAGGACTCACAACCTTTTGGGGCCTGACTGCAAATGCATCCAACCCCTCTACATGCACATGCTTTGTGGAGTCCAGTGATGGCTCCAGATCTCCATCCATCACCATCCCTGACATCACCGAGGGCAACTTTCTTGGCAGGTCAGGAGAAGCTGCTCTATGGCAGCCAAAACCTGAGAAAGAGAAATAGGTAAAGGAGTTTGACTGTGGTCTCTGGATGTTAAGGTGGAGTTCAATTTCCATGAGGCTCTAATGGAGGAAGCTGTACAAGTTTACTTTGGACTGAACACTGATGAGAAGGTAAGGTCTTTCCCAAGAGTGGCTAAGCGCAAGTGCTTTCACAAATAGAACCAACACTGCCTGGCAGATAGTATCATAAAAAGACATTCTTAAAACCTGGGGGGTAATAAGGGCTCTCAGGCAATTAGGATCATCCGTAGAGGCCCAGGCACCATCCCTACTCACAAGCTCTGAAGTGACCACACAGGGACTTCTTCCTCTGTGTCTTGGTCTCATTCCTCCCGCTCTTCTCCAGCTCATCCAGATAAATGTGGAGATGGAGGACCAGATCTGAGGAGGGCATGTGGAGCATGGCATAGTGGGTAAGTTCTTTTACTGGGTGTCGGTTCTGGGGCTCTCGGAAATCTGCAGGATAGCAGTCCATCCACATGGTGAAGATGGAACAAAGGCTGCTGTGGGCAGATTGGTGACAAAAAGAGTGAGTGCCTGCCCTCCCGATCCTGGGCCTCCCATAGCCCCTTTCTGCAAGCACTGCTATATGCACACTTGCATGCTGGGAAGCAGGAGGAGACTCCTGCAAGCAGGCTGATTTTCACCACCCAGGTCTAGAAGCTTCTGAAAGATAATTCTCCAATATTCTCACTGTGATAGGTAACAAGAAGGAACTGATTTTGTACACACAGCCCTCCCTGTCATCCCTGAGAGTTCACAACCACACCACAGCTGTGTCCTCTGCCACCACTCCAATCCCAAGCCTCTGCCTCTAGTGGAAAGCACAAGTGATGTGCAAATGAGAAATCTGCACTTTGAATCAGAAGCCTCAAAGATACCATTTTAAACCAAGGGGCCTTTTCTTTGTGCCACAGTCCACTTACTTCTTTGCTTGTCCATCTTCCTCAGAGTTACGGCCCGGGAATCTGTACCTATGGGAGGACAGGAGGAAGTCACCTCTCAGCTTCTCCTTTTCTTTTTTTTTTTTTTTTATTTTATTTGAAAACATATTGTACAGAGGGGTTACAATTACATGGGCAGGAAAATGCATACATTTCTTACCAAGCATTGCAGCCTCCTCCTTTGTTTACCCTTCACCTCCCTTCCCAGCCTCCCCCCTCCCCCCCACCCAATCATACCCCCCCTCCCTCCCCCCCACCGACATTGTAAAGCTGGTTTTAACATGACATTTTGTATTTCTCATTGTTGCAACAGGTCCACCTGAATCCTTAAACGACTTGTTTGTCCCCGTCTCCTCCACATGTTATACTGACATCAAATATAGTGAAAGCGGGGGTTACACTGTGGGGGAGGGACATACAAAGCAACAAAGAAATAATATTATAAATGCGTTAGAAACACATGCATGAATGAAACAAAAACATTAAAATACATATTTGAGGGTTCGTTTTCCTAACATCACATTCTCTGACTTTTTCCGCTTGACTCATACCTATACTAGATATTGCAAGTAAGGGAAACCATGGGACCTATGTTTCTTTGGGCCTGGCTTACTTCACTTAATATAATTTTCAGCTTCTCCTTTTCTGCCCACACAGAACACATATGGGATGGGCTCATTCCCATATGGGAATGGAATCTGACACATAAATAAGTGAGATACAGTTCAATGCAAATTCTGCTAAGAGACTTATATGCATTGGTCCAAGGTAAATGTGACAGTGCTCAAGCCTCTAATCCTAGCTAATCAGGAGCATGAGATCTCAGGTGCACAGTCTGATCAGACATTAGTCAGTAAAAGTCTAAGGACATTAATTTTTAAAAGGCCAGAATTGCACCTATGGTTCAAATGCTGTAGTGGTAGCTCTGAGCACCAAAGAAACAGCACCAAGATGCTGAATTTAGGTGGAAGGACTAACACACACAAAAACATAAAAGCTTCAGGGGTTATAAACATGTAAAGCCAACATAATCCCTCCTTGAAATCTCTGAGTTGATTCAGCCTCCAGTTCACCCGCCTCCCTCACACCCCAGCCTTTCCTGGGTCTACATTATTCACAGACATCCAATTGCTAATGAAACCTTATTTACTCATGGGAAATGTGATTTCCTAGAACCTCACCTAGGTGAGGGCAGAAGTTGGGTGCCATGGGCACATGCCTGTAATCCTAGCCCCTCAGTAAGCAAGCTTCTGAGGTCACAGTAGCTTTTCTGGGAAATTTCCTGGGCAGACCGCTACTAAGAAACTATGCAGGGTATGCACTTCTTTGTCTCATGCCAAGCTCCTGTGAGAAGACCCCCATGAAATCAACAGGTTCAGAGGGGTGTCAAGTATTCCACAACTCAGCCAGGAATAGCTGAACCGTCTCGGTTTTGTAGGGGGAACACTCACTTTTTGAACACAATATCCAGCACTTGCTCCATTGTCCCCCACTGTCTATAATTGTGGAGGAAGTTTCCAACATAGAAGAGATCGCCTTTCTGGTAGGCAGGGACCAGGTTCATCACCAGCATGCCCAGCAGGCCTGCCTCCGGGCTCCATATATGGCATGGCACATTCAGGGTCAGGGCTGACACATTAGCACACTAAGGCGAGACAAAGAATCAGAAAAAAACCATGGAAATGAGACCACTTCCAAACGAGTAATTGTGATAGAGTAGATTGACAACTATGCAAACAGTATTATCTCAGTAAACCCAAATCACATAAGAAGGTTCTACTTTGGACCAGGTTAGGGTTAAGTAAGTTTTCTATCATGAGTATACCTTGCCTGAGTTGCCTTGTGATTTCCTAGGTTTCTTTTTGGACAAATCTCTGAGATGGTTGGTTGGTGGCTTGCCACTGATCCAGTGTCTACAGCTTTGACTGAGGCACCCATACTTCTCTTGGCTGAGACCAGAGTCTCGAGACCTGCGAATACAGCACAAGAACATGTTTCTGGTTCCTGAGTCACAGGCCAAGTGAGCTGGCTTGAGCCAACTGTGAGTTACCGTGGCCTGCTATCAGGGTTCCATGTTCTATTCCATTGTGAAGGAGGCAGGGTCACCTGTCAGGGCCCAATGACCTCTGCCCCTTCCTTACCCAAGAAATACCCCCCCCCCAATATGGCTAAGTGTACATGTAGACAGAGTTAACAGCACACCCTGTTTGTCCAATCCTAATCTGCTAGCCCTAGGTTCTGGCATGTTCTCTGCTCCCAGGAGTCACTCCTAGGTCACATTCATGGCATATCTGTCACTATTCCTCTTATCTGGCTCAAATTATTTTGCCTCTCAGGGCCTTCTGTGACTGCCACATCCTTCTGGCACATATTTTGACATCAACATCCTAGGTCACTGTTTACTTTCTGTAGCCTAATCTGTTTGTCCTTGGAACCCCTCTCTGGTGTCATCTGGAGCCAATGCAAATACTTAGAGATGGGAAATTGAAAGGAATATTGGAAAACATACATTACATATATAATCAGCCTTTATTACAGGTGTCTATTTTTTTGGCCATTTCTGTGGCTTCACTTCAGCCTGGGTACTCCCCAGAGCTCTTTTGCTCAAGGGTAGCACTCTACCACTTGAGCCACAGCACCACTTTGGCTTTTTCTGTGTATGTGGTACTGAGGAATTGAACCCAGGTCTTCATGCATGCTAGGCAAGCACTCTACCACTGAGCCACCTTCCCAGCCACAGGTGTCCATTTTTGTAAGTGAGAAAATTATGTTTTATACTTGAAATATTTCATGGAGGCAACCAGAGAAAGGAAGAGCTGCTGTATTGTCTTTTTATGATGACTAGGATTTGTTTTACTATAGCTTTCAATGTAGTATTTAAGGTAGAAAACTGCTCCTTTACTTCTTACAAGCTAATCGTTTATATAGTCATTTGCCTCTGAAGTCTTTGCTTCTGTGTCCCATGATCTATCCTCCTCCCTCAACACAAACAGGAAGAAGAATTTCACACATTGCTGAGCTGTTGTCCAGTCTCTGCATAGGAATTGAAAATACAATATTTACTGTGGTGTGTGTGTGTGTGTGTGTGTGTGTGTGTGTGTGTGTGCACGCGCATTTCTGATCTTGGACCCTTTGCCTTATTCCTGAGCAATTTTCCTCAAAACTAGTGCTTTACCACCTGAGACACAGGTCCAATTTGAGCTTTTTGTAGTCAGCTGGAGATGAGAGATTCATGGAACTTTCCTACCCAGCATGGACACTGCTCCTCTTCAGCCTCATCTTTCCTCAACTGTGGCAATGGCTGTTCAGTTTCTGGATTTCCCATCTAAGCACAGACACAAGCCATCCTCCACTGCACATGTCTCTTTGTGTCCTTGAGGGGCTCAAGTCTTCTCTCAAAACTTAGTGCCCTGAGGATAGAACCTCTGAAACTCAGAACCAAGTTTCCTGATTAATTGGGATCACAGGCCTGAGCTATATATGAACAGCTCACTACCTGCCATCCCACATTTGTTGGGGGATGAGGGATTGTTTGTTGGGCTTGAACTCTGGGCCTGTACCCTGTCCCTCAGCTTTTCAGCTCAAAGCTAGGGCTTTACCACCTTGAGGCACAGTACCACTTCTGGTTTTCTGGTTGCTTATTGGGAGATCAGAGTCTCATGGATGTTCCTGCCTGGCTGATTTTCCGCTGTGATCCTTAGATCTCAGCCTCTCCAGTAGCTAGGATTATAGGCATGGGCCACCAGCGTCCAGCACATGACCCCTTTTTGCAACAGCATTTGGCGAATTTAACTATGTTGACTTGAGACAGATATACCTACACAATATATGGGAATCAATGGTATATCACTGAATTCTCCAATAATGTCTTTTACTTTAATGTTTTGTGAAACAACATATTCGAGACCCACAATATCATATGCTAGTCCTCCTATAAAATACATTCAAATATATGTATTATCATGTAGTATATTATATAATATATTTATATATATGTTATATATAATACGTAAATGATGTATGTAGTGAATACAGAAAATAATCCCAATTTTGGAATTTAGCCTTTCTTGTCACAATGTTACCCAAGTCTTCGGTTAGACATGCAGATTTTCATCAACAATCTCCCTTGTTAGTCGTTTTTTAGTTCTTGAATAAATGAGTCTTCTTTATCACCAATAGTCTACATACAAAAATGATATGGATCAATGTCTCTGGCTCAGGCCTGTATTCTTTGCTAGTCAGGAGGCTGAGATCTGAGGATCATGGTTCAAAGCCAGCCAGGTCAGGAAATGCTATCAGATTATCTCCAGCTGTAGCTCAAAGTGGTAGAGTGCTAGCCTTGAGTGAAAGAACTCAGAGACAGTGGCCAGCTTTTAAGTTCAAGCACCACCATTCTGTACACACACCCCCTACATGCACACTCTTTACTTGGTCCCTTCTTAAATCCTCTGTCCTCTTCACTGAACTGGTGATTGCCAGAGTTTCTGGATTTCCCACTGCAGCATGCCAACCAGCCATGTTCCCTCTGCACATGCACCTCTGCCACACTGCGGGGCCCAGGCCTCCTCTCAGAATCCACTGCCCTGGGATAGAGAGCAGATGAAATTCAAGGATTCTCAGAATGTGTGCTTCAAGACAGGGAGACTCAGAACTGTTCCTCACCTGGTATACAGAGACACATTGATCTATTTGTGTAGAACAATGCCAACATGGTTAGAATATAAGTTTTTGACTACCACAAATGACACCCTTTTCCAAATACTGTTAAATATTCCCTCAGATTTTCTTAAATGTTACATAAAAGTACATCTATTTACATGTTAGAGGTTGTAGCTTCTGATATAATGAACGGGAAAAGCAGCCAAAATGACTTCTTACAGAGAAAAATGCCTAGCCCAAGTAAGCTAATATGTGCAGCAAGCTCATTTCCAGACCATTCTCCAAATGCAGGCATGAGTCTCTTATTGTGTCATCTTGATAACTTACAGTCCATATCCACCCTCATGAAGACTTAGAAAATCTTCATGAAAAATCAACGAAAGGAACATCTTCAGAACATAAAACAGCACCAAATATTTAATTCTAGCTTTAAACATTTATATGTTTTATATTTGCACAGTGCAGAATTGTTCATGGTTGGCAGAAAGCTTCAAACATCAACACATTTACCCGACTAGCTGGAAAGGGGAAGTTATCCCTAGTAAGAGGTGGGGGCTTGAGATTCAAGTGGGACCAGCTTTCAAAGACACCTGTTCTGATATAACACAGAGCTTTTGTGTCTCAGCATCAAGGGTCCTATCTCGGCATAGGCTGCCTCCTCCACTGCCTGCATTCCCTGTGGCTCCCTCTAGTCACCAGTTCCTTGTAAATCCAGCAGATTTGTTCCCCAGATCCAGCACACTCTGCTTCCTCCCAATCAGGCCCCATGTGCCCAGGATGTTAGATTGGAGGTAGAAAACACCAGAGTATTTTGTATTCAGGAATTTTACAACATCATGTAAACATGGACATTTTAATACTGTTAAAACGATAAATAGTAAAACAGGCAAATGTCCTAAGAGGAGGGAGGCAAGATCTAACACACACACACACACAAAGATTCCCTGACTGGACACTGTGGATCATGCCTGTACTGCTAGCTAGTCAGGAGTCTAAATGGGAGGATCATGGTTCATAGCCATATCTGGCAAGAAAGTCCTCTTCTGTCCAATTAACCACCAGAAAACTGGAAGGGGAGCTGTGACTCTAAGTTGAAGAGCATTAGCCTTGTGCAAAAAAAGCTCAGAGACAGGTCCCACAACATGAGTTCAAGCTCCACAACAAAACAGAAGAGAGGAAGAGACAGAGAGAGACAGAGAGAGAAAGAGAGAGACAGAGAGAGACAGAGAGAGAGAGAGACAGAGACAGAGGCTGAGGCAGAGACAGAGACAGACAGAGACAGAGACAGACAGAAACAGAGACAGAAAGACAAACACAAGAAAACAGACAGGAAGACTGAGAAATCCCTTACCACTCCAATTAGAAAGTGAATATGGATATCAAAGATGTATTTCCTATTCTTCCACAATTCACTACATAGTACCACATCATCCCGATCCACATTTGGCTAACTAGAATCTATTTGGAGTTTCATAAATCATTCTACACGCTTCCATAGAACATGAACAGGCCCACACCTACTCACCAATGGTTTGTAAGTCTGGCCTTTTTGCTTAAATATGTAATTTTCCCATTCGTATGTTTTTCTGTTTCCATGGTTTAAAGCTACCATTGCCCACATTTCATGTCTAGATGTCTTCATCTTTTGTGCCAGTAGTGGAATTTGAACTCAGGACATTGAGCTCTTGCTTACATTTTGTTCCATTCTGAAACATGTAACTGCAGCCATGCTATGAGTTCCTGACTTTTGCTGGCTCATTGGATAAGTCTTTCAGATTTGTCTACAGGGGCTGATTTGAACCTCCATCCTGAGGAAGTATAGAGCACTCTTGAAACTAGAATTATTGAGATGGGCCAGGACACCTGGCATGTCTTTGTCCCTCTGATTAAGTTTTCTTACTTCTATTGATGATGGCTTTTACCTATTTCCCATGTATTTTGTCAAATACTTTTTCCCCAAAGTAGCTTTTTGATGTTATTTTGAGGTGAAATGTTCTTACATATTTGCACAGAGCAAAATAGGGGTGCGTACTGACTTGACTTCACTAATGGAAGAAAGTCCCCCATTTAGTACATTTAGTCTGACAGAACAACTTTCAAGGACATCTGGTTTGCTATGTCCTAGAGCTTTAGTAGTGGCCTGATCACCTCCTGCAGGCATGGGCTGGGTTCCTTGGCCCTCACAGTGCACTGAACACTTCCCTCTATAGCCAGTTAGTGCTCTTGGACAGCTCCAGGTCATTCTGTCTTTTGCCCTTACTCAGGACACATGTGCCTGGGACATCAGAATGTACATTAAAAAACCCACAGTATTTAGGATCCATAAATTGTACAACATAAACATACATCTTAATAAATTTAGAAGAATAAAAAGAATGAACATTTTACAACAATCAGAACAAAAAGAAAAAGAGATATCCCCAGGGAGAGGGGAGGGAAGCTCTAAGGCTAGGCCGGCTTCTAAGTTGCCTTCAGACATAAATTCTACCTCAGAATCCTCCAAGGGATCTACCTCCTCATGAAAGATAGGATTTGCTCCTGGAGTTGAGAGAGAGGCAGATGCTAATCTCTCAGTTGGAGACTGGCTCTCCTGCAGCAGGACAGATTAGTCCTGATGTTCTGTGAGGACAGATTCACTTTCCGGAGCTGAATCTAACGTTTGGACCTCACTCATTGGTTCCCCTGAACACAGACTGGGGACATTTTCCATCATCCCCACGTGTGCTACTCCCTCCAGCACACCAGGAGGAGTGCTGATTTGACCCTTTTTGAGCTGATCTGGGCCGCCTGTGAAAGTCAGAGGAAGACAATCACTATTACTTTCTTCTTTCTTTGGGGTCCCTACAGGTTCAGCTCTGTCACATATGGGGTTCAGAACCAGTGGCATATCCATCATGCGAAGAAATTGGTGTACACTTGTTATTTTTGAAGTTGGAGGAAAATAACCAGGAAGGAAGTAATACCAGAGATAAACAGAAGGAGATAAGAAATGAATCAAGGTCACTAGCATTTTGAGATTTGAAATGTATGCCAAATTTTTCACTATATGATTATAAGACAATGAGTTAGTGCTGTTCAAAAAGCAACTATTTTTGGGAGAAATAATTCTCTGAGAAATATATTTAGGATGAGTAATCAGTTCCATTCAATAAAATCACCCCTGGTATAGAAGAAGCAGGGAATATAAGATAGGAAATGCTCTAATCTTGTCAATATCCCATCAATTTTCTCATCTCAATTAAGTGAAGTAAGCCAGGCCCAAAGAAACATAGGTCCCATGGTTTTCCTTATTTGCAATATCTAGTATATGTATGAGTCAAGCGGAAAAGGTCAAATAGTGTGATGTTAGGAAAATGAACTCTTAGATATGTATTTTAATGTTTTTTCTTTCATGCATTTGTTTCTAACGCCTTTATAAGTTTATTTCTTTGTTGCTTTTTATGTCCCTCCCCCACAGTATAACCCCTGCTTTCACTTTATTTGATGTCAGTATAACTTGTGGAGGAGATGGGGAAAAACAAGTAGTTTAAGAATACAGGTCTATCTGTTGCAACAATGAGAAGTACAAGTTGTCATGTTCAAAAGGAGCTTTACATCGTCAGTGCGGGGGTTGGGGGGAGGAGAAGGATTGGGATTGGGGGGGAGTGGGGAGGCTGGGAAGGGATGTGAAGGCTAAACAAGGGAGGAGGCTGCAATGCTTGGTAAGAAATGTACGCATTATCCTGCCCATGTAATTGTAACCCCTCTGTACAGTATGTTCACAAATAAAATAAAATAAAATTTTAAAAAATAAATAAATAATAAAAAAACACGATACAAATAGAGTTAGTTAATATCTCAGCCAACTTATGATATTACAATCCAAATAGTGAAAAAATAATAATTTCAGGATTGGCACTGATGGCTCATGCCTATAATCCTAGCAACTCAGGAGGTCGGGGTTCGAAGCCAGCCCAAGCAGGAAAGTCTGTGAGACTTTTATCACCAATTAACCACCCCCTAAAAATTGAAGTGGAACTGTGGCTTAAGGTGGAAAAACACTATCCTTGAGCAAAAAAGCTCAAGGATAGTGCCTAGGCCTTGAATTCAAGCCCCATCATTGAGAAAAACAATAATAATCAATCAAAATAATAATAATCAAGGAAATAGCTCTGGTTATTGCATGTCACATAGGAATAAGTACTTCAACTCCAAAGGAACTTCACAAGGTGAAGTTTATGCCTGCAGAAAGGTGTGCTACGGACAGTACCGAATAAGAAAATGTACTGGGTGGGTAATCCTTAGTGTATTATTGTCCATCATTATAATTTGTCAGAGGTTAGATTCACAATATTGTGTTATTGGCTGACTTAAAAAATGTTAAAGTTAACCTGAGCAATCAATCAAACATTGAGCCAAAGTAAGAACTTATCAGAAAAATAATTCTTACCCATCTGGCTCTCTGTCACTTTGGTCAGGCAGACCTTCAGGCCCTAGAGAGAATAATTCCTCTGACAGGATTTTGCTTAACTTAATCAGTTTCTTGCAAATGGTGGTGCTTACATTAAGCAGTCATTTTGATAGGAAAATTGCAAGGAAGGATGGAATAGAATAAACTATTCCACAAGAAGAGAGCAGCTACAATATCAGGGCAGGTCACCTTTCAGGCATTGGTGCATATCACTAAAGTCATGCCAGTAACAATAGCCACTTCTCTAGAATCTCCAAGAATTGGATGAGATAATGGTCAACAGCCCATACTCATAACTGAGACCTTTAATTCATTACATCTAGCACTCTCCTATAAGCTCTTACCTCTTTGCATATTTTAACCTATAGCTCTTGATTATACCTCAGGTGGCTAAAGATTGGCTGAAGTGCATAATTCCCATCTTCCTGTGGCTTCTTGAGCTGTGTAATACATTTCTTCTCTTTGCTTTTAGTAATTATCATCTCTCTCTCTCTCTCTCTCTCTCTCTCTCTCTCTATATATATATATATATATATATATATATATATATGAGAGCAGGTGAGTGGATTACACGTACAGAATCCTTGAGTTTGTACTTAGAGCCTGACACTCTATTTTTAGAACCCATTGGTCTGTTAAGTTTAACAATGCATCCTAAGAATGTTACTTAATAGTCACAATGATATTAGGTCAGAAACAGAGGTTCAGAATAGATGTCTATTTAAAGGGACAAAAAGATAACCAAGTTAATTTTGGCTCTGTCCGAAACGGCCCATTTTTCTACATTCAAGCTAAACAGTCGGTGGGATCATCATGACATATATAGATAGGACCTTGAAAGAACTCAGTTGTGGATTACTGCATTGTATATTGGGACTCCCAGATTTAAGCTCTCTTTTATTAAGCCTCAATAATGGAATCATATAACATTGAAGCATTGGAATTTGAGCCACTGGTCTAATTGTAATATGACTTACCTGAGTTTGAAACAGCTCATCTGTTCTTTAATTCCATTTTGTCCCTCTCTGTCTTCATTCATTCTCTTCAAAATTTTCCCCCTTTTAAGTCTCTTCTTCAATATTTCCCTTAGATTTCAGTAATGACTGCAGTGATTGATAAATGTCTTTATGACAAAGAACTGTCAGCAACCATAAGGGTCACGGGGCAAATCTTCCCATGATGAGATTTCTCCTCAAGGGAGAGCAATAGCCCCAGGATGGAAACAGGTTTCACCCTCAGCAGAAACAATCATCTCATGAGACACAGATTACTCACTCGCTCAAGTGCTAACAGCAATGCAGACTTCTCTAGATCCATCCTGAAGATTGAGACAATGGTCAGGCAGATCATAGCTGTAGAAGACAACACGTTCTCAAAGCTAATAGCTCTACAAAGCCCTAATTTTAAATTTTGGTTACTCATTTACAATAGGGGGGAGGCTGGGAAGGGATGTGAAGGGTAAACAAAGGAGGAGGCTGCAATGCTTGATAAGAAATGTACGCATTATCCTGCCCATGTAATTGTAACCCCTCTGTACAGTATGTTCACAAAAAATTAAAATTAAAATTAAAAAATAAAATAAAATAAAAAAATTTAAAAAATTTAAAAAATGTCAAAGTTATGACAGCCCTTCACAGATAGGCCCGGGGTAACTAAACACTTTGATCAGTTATTTCTAACGTGACCACAATTAAAGCTCTTTTCTCAACCCTTTCCGTATTGTTTTTGCCTTTGAGACATGTAGTATAGCTTAATCTGTGGAGCTGCCTGGAGATAACACATTTGCTCTAGAGCTCTGGTGACATTTGTGAAGGTACCATTACATTAAATAGAAGCTTTACATTGTATTAAACAGAAGCTCTAAAGAGCACTTACTTACTTACTTAATTTTAGTGCCAGTACTGATGATTAATCTCAGGAATTTGCACTCTGTCTAGACTTTTTTAGGCAAAACTGAAACTCTACTATTTGAGCTACACTTTCATCTTCCTTTTAATTCATTGGAGAAAAGAATCTCAAAGACTTTCTTAATTGGGCTGGCTTTGAACTACAGGGCTAATTTCTCAGTTTCTACAGTAGCTAGGATTGTAGGGATAAGCCACCAGTGCCCATCACAGTAACAAATTTGTGTGTGTGTGTGTGTGTGTGTGTGTGTGTGTGTGTTGCTGAGGCTTGAACTCAGGACTCTGAGCTTCGCTGTTCAAGGCTAGCTCTCTACCACTTGAGCCACAG